CCCGGGTTCAAGTGATTCTCCTGTCTCAGCCTCCTGAGTAGCTGGGATTACAGGCATGCGCCACGACGCCTGGCTAATTTTTGTATTTTTAGTAGAGATGGGGTTTTGCCACATTGGCCAGGCTGGTCTCAAACTCCTGACCTCAGGTGATCCGCCTGTCTCAGACTCCCAAAGTAATCCATGCCTGGGATTACAGGCATGAGTCACCACGCCCGGCCTCAAATGCTAATCTCTTTCAGAAATACCCAGAAAATGTTTTACTAGCTGTTGGGCCAGGCAAGTTGACTCAAAATGAACCATTGTAGCCTCCTAATCTAGCTGCGAGGCCTCTGAGGTTCCCCAGCCCTCTACTTGGTTATTTACATTTATTTTCCTTTATTCCAACAACTCCATTATGGTAGGGCATGTTATTTTTAACTGACGAGTTTCTATTATATCTTCCATCATTCTGTTTACCATCGTCTACTATTTATGGTTATCATTTGGAGAGTGGTTGTTGACTAAACATTTTAGAAAAGAAAATGCTAATTTTCTAAGAGTATTGTTTTACCGTTTCATTTATTCATGCCAAAAACATTTAAGGAAACTATGAAAGGCCAGGTAGAAGGAATCAAGAAGTCTTGATTCAAATCAGAGGAAGACATGATCCTTCTTTGGAAGTGGTTACAGAAAGGAGATTAAAACACAGCACAGGCTGGGTGAGGCGGCTCACTCCTGTAATCCCACCACTTTGGGAGGCTGAGGCAGGTGGATCACCTGAGGTCAGGAGTTCAAGACCAGCCTGGCCAACATGGTAAAACCCCATTTCTAATAAAAATAGAAAAAAAATTTGCCAGGTATGGTGGCATATGCCTGTCATTCCAGCTACTTGGGAGGCTGAGGCAGGAGGATCTCTTGAACCTGGCAGGCAGAGGTTGCAGTAGGCAGAGATCGTGCCATTGCACTCCAGTCTGGGAGACAGAGTGAAACACCAATTCAAAAAAAAAAGCAGTACAGAATGGTGAGTGCTGTCACCAGGATATGAACAAAGAGATGTGGGCACAACAAGGTTATATGCATGGGAGGAGGGAAGTTTTCATCTAATAATTCTTTCTTTCTTTTTTGTACAGAAGAAACAATGACTGGATAAATTAAATGACTTCATTAAGCCCAGCATCTTGTTAGTGAGAGTTTGAAAGACATGGTGAAGAGCATGTTCTTTGAATCAGGCAGACCTAGGTTCTAATCATGTGGCTGTGTGAACTTCAGCAATTTTTTTTTTTTGAGATGGAGTCTTGCTCTGCTGCCCAGGCTGGAGTGCTGTGGCACTGTTTCAGCTCACTGCAACCTCTGCCTTCTGCCCTCAAGTGATCCTTCAACCTCAGCCTCCCAAGTAGCTGAGACCACAGGTCACAGGTGTGTGCCCCACCACACTCAGCTAATTTTAATATATTTTTTGTAGAGATGGGGTTATGCCATGTTGCTCATGCTGGTCTCAAACTCCTGGGCTCAAGTCATCTGCCTCGGCCTCCCAAAATGCCAGGATTACAGGGGTCAGCCACTGCACCTGGCCCAGTAATTGTTTTAATCCCTGTGAGCTTCGGTTTATTAGTGAGGCACGTAATTTTATCTACTTTGTAGGCAGTCACTATTGTAGGGTTTATCACATTAGTAGGGTTTCAACATAATCTCTTTTTCTTTCACCCTTCCTCATGGCACAGAGCACTGTGATAGAAGTAAAAAAGAAATCAGAGGCCGGGCATGGTGGCTCATGCCTGTAATCCAAGCACTTTGGAGGCCAAGGCGGGCGGATCACCTGAGGTTGGGAGTTCAAGACCAGCCTGACCAACATGGTGAAACCCTGTCTTTAAAAAAAAAAAAAGAAAAAAAAAAAAAAGAAATCAGAGGTCAAGGCCGGGCGCCGTGGCTCATACCTGTAATCCCAGAACTTTGAGAGTTTAAGACCAGCCTGGCCAATATGGCAAAACCCTATTTCTACTGAAAATACAAAAATTAGCTTGGTGTGGTGGCGCATGCTTGTAATCCCAGCTACTTTGTTGGCTGAGGCACGAGAATCACTTGAACCCAAGAAGCCGAGGTTGCAGTGAGCTGAGATCCTGCCACTGCACTCCATCCTGGGTGACAAAGCGAGACTCTGTCTGAAAAACAAGAAAAAGAAAAAAAAAAACAAGAAAAAAAGAAATCAGAGGTCAGAGAAAGGAAGGTCAGCTGGCTCCCAAGCAGGGCGTTACAGGGTGCCAGGACTGTGGTGGGGTCCCTTATCACTGAGGTTTTGTTCTCAGCCCTTTAGGTCTGAAAAGTTGACACTATTAGAACTTCCAGGACTGACTGGCTTCTTGGGGAGGGACCCATGCTAACAAAATACACATGAAATTTATGAATAGCCCATAATGCAAATTCATTGTATTCTATGATGAGTATCTTTATTTATTTTTTTGAGATGGAATATCACCCTAGTCTCCCAGGTTGAAGTGCAATGGCGTGGTCTTGGCTCACTGCAATCTCTGCCTCCTGGGTTCAGGTGATTCTCCTGCCTCAGCCTCCCGAGTAGCTGGGATTACAGGCATGGGCCACCATGCCTGGCTAATTTTTTGTATCTTTAGTAGAGATGGGGTTTCACCATCTTGGCCAGGCTGGTCTCAAACTCCTGACTTCATGACCTGCCTGCCTTGGCCTCCCAAAGTGCTGGGATCACAGGCGTGAGCCACTGTGCTGGGCCTGATGAACATGTTTCTATAACTGGCTCCCCCCACTTCAGTCTTATGTTTTTATCTTGGAACAGATAATCAGAAAGTTTTTAATTAGGCATAGAATCTGAATGAAGGAATTTGGATACTCTTCAGAAATATTTCATCTAGGCTGTGAGAAAAGGTTGATGCTTTTATAATCAAGGACCCTGCTCTGGAAGGCCAAACTTTGCCTTTGCCAGATACATTTTAGTGTTGGTGAAAACACAACATATTACTACTAGCATTGCCACCTGTTTGAACTCTACGTGGACTGCACCTTTCTGTTAACATTCATCTTCTCAAATGATACAATCAATTGGATTAGAAGTATCTTAGGTCACCTCTGACTGGACTTTGATGTTTCCCAAATCTACACCAGCATCCTTACCAGGAGTCATCTTTATACATAGCTGATATTAACTAATTTAACTCTCAGGGTTCACCAGATTTCTTCCATTTTCTGGAGGCATTTAATCACAGACGTGTTTGTACTACTTTCATATATACCCGTCACCCGATATACCCGTCACCCGATAGCACACATCCAATAAATGCCAGTTGAATAAAGGTGAGGATAAAGGAGAAAATATCAGAAAAGGTCTCAGAGAATAAGAGTTATGTCTGTTCTTTTCTGGCCGGGTGCAGTGGCTCATGCCTGTAATCCCAGCACTTTGGGAGGTTGAGGCGGGCAGATCATTTGAGGTCAGGAGTTTGAGACCAGCCTGGCCAACATGGTAAAACCCCATCTCTACTAAAAATACAAAAATTAGCCGGGCGTGGTGATGGGCGCCTGTAATCCCAGCTACTCCTGAGGCTGAGGTGGGAGGATCACTGGAACACGGGTGGGTGGGGGCAGGGTGGAGGAGGTGGTGGTGGAGGTGGCAGGGAGCTGAGATAGCACTCTAGCCTGGGCGACAGAGTGAGACTCCGCCTCAGAAAACAAAAAAACAGTCTTTTTTTTCCTCTCTCGAATTCTACCCGTCCTTAAGGGGTACTAAGGAAAGGGATGATGTGGGCGATGTTGAACTCCCAGAGATAGGAAGTTGAGGAGGAAGAAACACAAGAGCTTGCAGGTTCATCTGTTATATGGGATAAAAGAAAAGAAAACAAAACAAAACAGCTTTCAGGAAAGATTTCTAAGGCCGCTGAAGTCACACCACCGATGAGTGCCTGACGGCAAAGTGACCCTTTCCTGGCTGTTGCTGAAATCTGAGGGATGATGATGAGGTGGGCAAGGAAACATGGAGAAAACGTCTGAAGGCTTGTTAAGGAAGCAACCCACTGCACATGCTGGGACGAAGGGAAGAGTCGAGTGGATTTCAGCTTAGGTGTCTGTAAGTATGTTGGTGCATTTCAGGAGACGACGGCAGAGGGGAGGTGGTTTGCGTTCGCGTTTGGATAGGCTGAGGTTGAGTTTGAGGTGCTGGTTGGGACAAGTAGGTTGAAGAATTCAGTGAGTAGTCGGGTATAAAGGGGTCTGAGCTTCTGAAACAAATCTGGATGTTAGTTGCAAGTATAGAAACGGGTTAAGACTCTGGGATAAAATTGGAGCTAGGGATGCAGAGTCCGGCTGGACTCGCAGATTTAGAGATGGGCAGTGGAACGGGGAGCAGGATAAGAAAAGTCGGCGAGGTCAGAAAAAAGGAGGCGACATTTTGAAAGCCAAGGGAGCAGGTTTCAAGGCCGCCTCCTGGAGGTCAAGAGGAGGGTGACAAATCGACCGTAGCTTCGGTCAAACCGCGTTCCGAGGAGTGCAGGCGCCTGGGGGCGGGGCAGAGGCTGGCCGCTGCCGGCGGCTACATGGAGGGCGAGAATGGAGGCAGCCTTAATGGTACCTGTATTTTTAAAGGGAATTTGGCGGTGACGAGACAGAAAGGACGGGACTTGGTACTTCATAGCTCAGGGGGATAATCAGCTTCAGAATCCCCTACTCTTGCGTGAGTCACTCTCCGTCTACGCGTGTCTTCTGCAGACCCTCGGGGGGCCCATCCTGGGATCTGCCGACTGTAACCTGGGGACAAATAAAACAAAGCCCACAGTGCCACTCGGTAAAAAAAAAAAGACCAGCGTTTTGTTTGAAAGCCTACTGTCTTTAAAGGTCCTGGCATGCAAATGAGGGGCTTTAATGTGGCTCTCAGCGATTGGTAGACACTGACAAATCCGTCATTTCCTCTCCGCGCAGGATGCAAACCGAGCGGCGGCTCTCTGCGTCCCTATTGGCTGTTGGATACCGCTCCGCTTTCAGCCAATCAAACGGCTTCCCTTCACCCCTCCCCGTGGCTCTTATAAATGACATCAAATTGGTTATCCCTTCCACATTCTTCTCCTTGAAAAAGAAGCCGTGACTGCAATTTTAGCCGTAATGTCGGGACGCGGAAAGCAAGGAGGCAAGGCCCGCGCCAAGGCCAAGTCGCGCTCGTCCCGCGCTGGCCTGCAGTTCCCGGTGGGGCGAGTGCACCGCCTGCTGCGCAAAGGCAACTACGCGGAGCGGGTGGGGGCCGGCGCCCCGGTGTACCTGGCAGCGGTCCTGGAGTACCTGACCGCGGAGATCCTGGAGCTGGCGGGCAACGCGGCTCGGGACAACAAGAAGACGCGCATCATCCCTCGCCATCTGCAGCTAGCTGTGAGGAATGACGAAGAGCTCAACAAGTTACTCGGGGGTGTCACCATTGCCCAGGGCGGCGTCTTGCCCAATATCCAGGCTGTCCTGTTGCCCAAGAAAACGGAGAGTCACAAGCCTGGCAAGAACAAGTAATTAAGAGGCTTGACACCATACCCACTCACCCCAAAGGCTCTTTTAAGAGCCACCAAAGTGTCCGATGAAGGGCTGATAACGAAACAGCGCGTTAGCTCTTTTTTTGAAAACTTGGGTGGCTCTAAAAAGAGCCTTTGGTCTTTGGTTTGTCTGCATTTATTTGCTTTTGGCTTTGTGGCTTTCGGTTTTCTTTGGTAACAGAACGGCCTGGATGTTGGGCAACACGCCGCCCTGGGCGATGGTGACTTTGCCCAGCAGCTTGTTCAGCTCCTCGTCGTTGCGGATGGCCAGCTGCAGGTGACGGGGGATGATGCGCGTCTTCTTGTTGTCCCGAGCCGCGTTGCCCGCCAGCTCCAGGATCTCGGCGGTCAGGTACTCCAGGACCGCCGCCATGTAGACGGGCGCGCCGGCCCCCACCCGCTCCGCGTAGTTGCCTTTGCGCAGCAGGCGGTGCACTCGCCCCACCGGGAACTGCAGGCCAGCGCGGGACGAGCGCGACTTGGCCTTGGCGCGGGCCTTGCCTCCTTGCTTGCCACGACCAGACATGACTAAGACCAAGACTAAACGCAGACAAAGCTCAGACCCTCGCAACAAAATAAGATTGAAAGCGCACCAAGAAGAAAGCCTTTATAAGCTTTCTTAGGGGTGGGGTCAAGGACGAGTTTTTCATTGGTCCTAATTTGGCTTCAGAACGGGCCAATCAAGTCAAGAGTCGGTGTCGTGACGTAGACGTTGCTGAAAACGCAAGGTCTGCACACGGACCAATGGCAGTGAGTGAGTTTCGGAGCCCTAATTTGCATAAGGTGGTTATAAAAGGATCAGGCCCGCCCATTCTCTTACTTCTTTTCTTAGCCAAGTCGCGTTGGTACTGTGTCTTACCATGCCTGAACCGGCTAAATCCGCTCCTGCTCCCAAGAAGGGCTCTAAGAAAGCCGTCACCAAAGCCCAGAAGAAGGACGGCAAGAAGCGCAAGCGCAGCCGCAAGGAGAGCTACTCCATCTACGTGTACAAGGTGCTGAAGCAGGTCCACCCCGACACCGGCATCTCGTCCAAAGCCATGGGCATCATGAACTCCTTCGTCAACGACATCTTCGAGCGCATCGCGGGGGAGGCGTCCCGCCTGGCGCACTACAACAAGCGCTCCACCATCACGTCCCGCGAGATCCAGACGGCCGTGCGCCTGCTGCTGCCCGGCGAGCTGGCCAAGCACGCCGTGTCCGAGGGCACCAAGGCGGTCACCAAGTACACCAGCTCCAAGTGAGTCCCTGCCGGGACCTGGCGCTCGCTCGCTCGAGTCGCCGGCTGCTTGACTCCAAAGGCTCTTTTCAGAGCCACCCACCTAATCACTAGAAAAGAGCTTGTTCACTTATTCCCTTAGTTCTTCCTCACAAAGTAAGTTGTTTTAGCGTAAAGGTCATAGGAAATAGCACACGTTGCTTAATCATTTGGAACTCGAGGTCCCCGGTGCATGATTGGATTTGCTTTTGAGTCTAGAGCGTGTCTTTATTCATTGTGCTGCTTTAGCTTTCCCAGGAGTCCGTTCTCATTTAGGATTTTGGGAATCTGACTCTGCCCGCCCCCACCCCCGCCTCACACACTGGCGCCCTGGTGGCTTCGTTGGGTCTGTTTCATCATTCCAAAACGAAGTGGCCGAGTTCGGCTGTCACTTAACTCTGGGACACAATTCAGTCCGGGTTCCGCAAACACTGCGTGACAGTTCTGTATGACTGAAGCTTCGCAGCAGCTTTTGTGTCCGGTCACCAGTTCTGCCCTGGGATGCGGCCTCCTGTGGATGCCAGCCGTTCTGTGTACCTTGGACGAAGCCCGCGCAGCCGGGTCCCGGCCTTTTCCTGATTGGGCGACATGACTGTTCAAAATTCTGCGCCACTTTCTAATTTGTAGATTTCAGTTTCCGTGGTTCACTTTGAGACTTTGAGATTCCTAGTTCTAGGTTTGTGGATAATTTTTGCGTTTAATGGTGTCTGCTTTAAATGGTAACGTTACGGCCCCGGGTCACTGCAAGACACAATGTAGATATGAGCTCAGAAGTCACCTCTCAAGAGACCTCCTACGTCATCCACTCAGGAATTCGCGCCTCTCATAGTTCCCGCTCTCGTTTTATCTGCCTCGTAGCAGCTGTCTGAAATTGGCTCGTCTGTTTTCTCGTTTATGGCATTCTCAAGCCCTCGACAGACCGGATGGTCTGGTTCTCCCGTGCATCTCCAGCTCCAGTCACAGTCTGGCACATTATGGACACTTACTTAGATACTACATATTGAATTAATATTGTTGGGTTAATTTTTCCATCCCATCTTTTTTTTTAAATCGCTTCTGTGGATGGATGATGGGTGCTGTTCATTTCCGTTAGATGTATGTGAAGGCACGGTGAAAATGGAAATGTTTTTGGAGCTACTCCCTCAAATGTATCCTTAGTCACCTCAGTGCAGCAGCTGGGAGGGGGCCGTGTTAAGATTCTTTTTGCATCAAAGAGGAGGTGGCAATGGTAGTTCCACCCTAGTGCTTCCCAGTTTAGCCTAACCTCCTTTGGATTTTTATCAAATTCAGCGTGTTGGTCATTGGAAAGAGCCTTTTTCCTTCTTTTCTTACTCTCCTGTCTTGGTGTTCCCTTCTTAAAAGAGAGGAGCTTTTTTTTTTTTTTTTTTGAGACAGTTTCACTCTTGTTACCCAGGCTGGAGTGCAGTGGCGCCATCTCGGCTCACTGCAACCTCCGCCTTCCGGATTCAAGTGATTCTCCTGCCTCAGCCTCCTGAGTAGCTGGGATTACAGGCGTCCGCCACCATGCCCAGCTAATTTTTTGTATTTTTAGTAGAGACGGTGTTTCACCATGTTGACCAGGATGGTCTCGATCTCTTGACCTCGTGATCCACCCACCTCGGCCTCCCAAAGTGCTGGGATTACAGGCGTTAGCCACCGCGCCTGGCCGGAGAGGAGCTTTTAATTTGCACTCACCACCTCGTTTGGTTTTCAGGAGACCATTCAAGATAGGCAGGACTACAAAGTTAATTTTTTTCTTTTTTTTTTTTTTTTTTTACAAATGAGGCCAAGAGAAGCTTCATTGGTCCACGGTCATGCAGCTCATACTGTCTACCTTTGTATTCTCAGATGCAGGACAATTGCATTTTAGTTTTATTTTGTGGAAGTGCAGAATATTTACTCTTTCTTTCAAACCCTTGATTCTGCCGAGGAAGACACTGATGGTTTGATGAGTGATTCAACTCTGCTTTTGGCTAAGGGCTTTTGGAGTTGATTGCAGGGGTTTGATGAATCCAAATGAGCTCTAGACATGATCACAGACTGAATAAATCTTAATTGTCTCCTACATGTGTGTTTTCAAATATGTGTAGATGTTATTGTTATTAATAAAGTTGCCAGTTAATTTAAAGTCTTTGCTGAATTCTTTTCTCTACAGTATATTTTCTCAATGAATGAGATTAACAGATACAACTTCCACTGGCTCTGTAGAAAAGCTTGGGTGTCTCCGAGCTGGGGGATGACTGTTTACAAGCCACTAGCCAAACTGCTGCCCCAGAGGTGCATTGGGACTTAAATAGTCTCTTAGAAGGTCACTGTTGGCTGGGTGCGGTGGCTCATGCCTATAATCCCAGCACTTTGGGAGGCCGAGGCAGGTGTATCACAAGGTCAGGAGTTTGAGACCAGCCTGACCAACATGATGAAAACCCATCTCTATTAAAAAAATTTTTTTTTTTTTTTTTTTGAGACGGAGTTTCGCTCTTGTTGCCCAGGCTGGAGTGCAATGGCGCGATCTCGGCTCACCGCAACCTCCGCCTCCTGGGTTCAGGCAATTCTCCTGCCTCAGCCTCCTGAGTAGCTGGGATTACAGGCACGCGCCACCATGCCCAGCTGATTTTTTGTATTTTTAGTAGAGACGGGGTTTCACCATGTTGACCAGGATGGTCTCGATCTCTTGACCTCGTGATCCACCCGCCTCGGCCTCCCAAAGTGCTGGGATTACAGGCTTGAGCCACCGCGCCCGGCCTAAAAATTTTTTTTTTTTAAAAAGGTCACTGTTAATGCTGAGTAATCGAAAAATATATGATCACAAACAGAAAGCAGTACAAATAAGATGGAAGAAATAAAGTTCATAATAAAGTGAAGCTCACACCTACAGAGCAGTTACCATGTGTCAGGCAGTGTTCTAGGTCCTTTATACATATTGACTCATTTAATTCTCACCAGGACCTCAGGAAGTAGTACTATTATTATCACTCACTTTACAGATCAGGAAACTGAGGCACCCAGAAGCCCTTTTTCAGAAATTCTCCAGAGAATAAGCTCCTAGGTTAGCGGTTAAGAGAATTGAGAAATAGGGTCATTCTGAAAACCTGGACCCTATGCTTTAGAATTAAAAAGAAATATCACCTGCTTTATTTTCTTCAGCGTGCACCCTGGATATAAATCCTAGGTGGTGGTGGCTGAGTACCTTGAGGGTGGGATGAGGTGGCTGTGATCCTCCATCCCAGAGGCCATAGCTCAACTCAACGGAGTTTGTCCCCACAGTGGTGGGGCTCATTAGCTGGAATCCTTTGACTAACATGAGAGAGCCTTAGTCGCTGGATTTGGGCTCCTCCTGGTCATGCTATTCACTGGGAAGGAAGTTATAGAGCGGGAAAGGGGGAAACAGGTGATAGAGTTTGATATTTTAACTGGAGGGGAAGTAATTAGTAATGGTGAGATTAATCCTCAAGAACCTCTTTGATCAGTTCTCCTGCTCAGGCATCTTTAAACATTTGCTTATGTTGGGGTTAATAACAATAATTGTTATAATAATGACTGCTTCCACTTAGCACTTAACTGTTAACCTGGTCCTCTGCTAAGTAAGTGGCTTACATACATTGTCTCATTAAATCTTCACAGCCACTGTTTAAGATAGGTTCTGTTGGCTGAGTGTGGTGGCTCACGCCTGTAATCCCAGCACTTTGGGAGGCCAAGGTGGGTGGATCACGAGTTTAGGAGATTGAGACCATCCTGGTTAACACAGTGAAACCCTGTCTCTATTAAAAATACACAAATTAGCCAGGTGTGGTGGCACATGCCTGTAGTCTCAGCTACTTGGAAGGCTGAAGCAGAATGATCGCTTGAACCTGGGAGGCAGAGGCTTCAGTGAGTTGAGATGGAGCCACTGCACTCCAGCCTGGCAACAGAGTAAGACTCCCTTTGAAAAAAAAAAAAAAAAAAAGATAGGTTCTTTTGGCTGGGCATGGTGGCTTATGCCTGTAATCCCAGCACTTTGGGAGGCTGAGGCAGGTGGATCACCTGAGGTCAGGTGTTCAAGACCAGCCTGGCCAACATGGTGAAACCTGGTCTCTACTAAAAATACAAAAATTAGCTGGGCATGGTGGCAGTTGCCTGTAATCCCAGCTACTCAGGAGGCTGAGGCAGGAGAATCACTTGAATCCGGAAGGTGGAGGTTACAGTGAGCTGAGATCGTGCCATTGCACTCCAGTCTAGGTGACAAGAGCAAAACTCTTATCATCCTTATTTTACAGATGAGGAAACCGAATCTCAGAAAGGTTAAGTGACATGGCCAAGATCACCCGGCAGGTGGCAGAACTTCA